AAGAAATTCACAATTTTAGTAAAGCACCTTAAGACCCTTCTATCTATGAAGAGTATTTGATTCTAGCATATCTGGATCTTGAGAAGAAGATTTTTGAAATTTTTGTCAATTTTACCCTTTTTGGCCCCGGCCCTCAGGCCCCTGGGGGCTGGGGACCATATAATTCACAATTTTAGTTGACCTTTGGCCATGGAAGGTTTCTGCAAAATTTCATTGAAATTGGTTTCGGGGTTTTTGGAGAAGAAGTCGAAAATGTAAATTGTTTACGGACGCACGACGGACGACCATGGACAAAAGGCGATCGCAATAGGTCACTTGAGACTTTGTCTCAGGTGACCTAATAAAAAAGTCCAAAGGACCAATAAACAATCCCCTTACCTGTGAATAGTTCTATCGCCCCAACTTTTTCTGAAGTTTGGATGTCTTCAATGTTGTCCTCTAGTTTCTTAAACATAGCTACCTTTGTCTTGTACTCGGACAAGATGGGATCTTCTGCAATAAACTCCTGAAATGTTTTAAATCATTGCTTTCAATGGTAAGTAGATAATAGTGATAATGATTTTAAGTAGATGCCATCTTTTATTCTCTTTTACATCCTCAACAAGTCTTTTCAAAATCTGTAAAAAAAACATCATTACTTTGTAAGACTGTTTTAATGCAAATTTTTAATAAATCTTAATGTTTTGATATATGAAATACTGAATATGACAGGATTTTTATGGAAGAAATCACTTGAGCATCTTACTGATATTATTTGTATCTGGCACAAATTTTGCAGTTGCAACTCTGAAACATTTGGCCAAGTGCACAGCTTGATATCATATAATGTATACACAAATCTCAATTCTTTCCAATGAACTATAAATGTCCAAAACAGAGTAACAACAGGTCTGAATTTAAAACGTGATACTGACTGTTACAGCCTCCTCTCGATCTTTCTCCCACAGAAAGGCGTAGTCGGAGTATCTCTGTAGTGCTTCCATGATGTCAGCTTTCAGTGTGCTAAGTGCAGACGACATCATCATCACATATTTTGACACGTCCTTGTTGTCTGCAATACTTTTGTGGTAGTGTTTTAGAGGCACAGGAGGCAGAAGCTTTATCGTGTAAGCCAATGGATCTGTACGGAAACAATTCAGCATACTGTGACTATTACAACCAGTTATAATGCAGCAATGATCTCATGGCAAAATGGCCCTTCATGGTTTTCTATACTTTAATATTTACAAGGACATCAACTTGTGTTTCAAATTGTTTCATAATAGAAAGAGTTGGCATGATATATTAATTTGTGCTTGATGCTTAACACAAGTTCTTGTGAAAATATCTCACAAAATGTGAGTAAACTAAAGTGAATATTTAACAGGAGCTGATCTCTTAATAATATTTGCTCAATTTCCCTTTTGCAGATAATTAAATCAAGTAAAACATAACAATAATTTTCCAGAGATTCACAACTGCCCTGGTTAAGTGAAATTTATATTAGGAAATGGGTGGACTTTGTAACTGTGGCTGACCATGATGATGAAAAGAGGTGTTTTCCTTGTGATCTGATGGGAACTGGCGTGTGCGGTCCTGTCCCCACTGGTACACATCCTTACTGATGTCCACCACCATCTGTGTGGCCCTGTTCAGGGCCTGCTGGATATCCTCCAACCCCGGTTGCATCACCTGTACACATCAATATCGTACAGTAAACATGTAACTCTTATTTCAAACCGCCCTAAAATGTCCTGTCTAGAAAGTGTTAAACTATATTCTAAATACCCTGCTTAAGGAAGGTATGGGTCCAGTCTAGTAAGCTGAAGGCAAGTTGCTGTTAAACTAACCCTAATGAGGCTCAAGTCTAAGAAAGTGTTATATTTTAACTCTAAGGGTCCTGTCTAAGAATGTATGCTATACTAACACTACTGAGGGTCCTGTCTAAGAAAGTGTGATATTTAAGCTACTGAGGGTCCTGTCTAAGAAAGTATGATATTTAAGCTACTGAGGGTCCTGTCAAAGAAAGTGTGATATTTAAGCTACGGAGGGTCCTGTCTAAGAATGTATGCTATACTAACACTACTGAGGGTCCTGTCTAAGAAAGTGTGATATTTAAGCTACTGAGGGTCCTGTCAAAGAAAGTGTGACATTCCTATATAACTGAGGGTCCTGTCTAAGAAAGTGTGATATTCTTACCCTACTAAAAGTTCCTGTCTCATGTCGGCCATTTTGGTTTCTGATCAGTCCCAAAAATTTGATATGCATAACTAGGGACCATGGGAAATATTCATGCGAAATTTGAGAAAGTCTCCTCTAGTACTTACTGAGAAATAGCGCTAACAAAAATTGTTAAAAAAAGATGTACGGAATGATGGATAGATGACAGACTTTGAAAGAACGGTGATATGAAAAGCCAAACATAATCAGATGATGGGCTAAAAATCAGCAAAAAAGGTGGTCCATCACCGGACTGGTTACAATTTCGATTTCTTTAGCAACTTAACTTAGATACTTATGGACAAATTAGGGTAAAATCACTTCACCTTGATTAAAGGAATATATCATATGAATCCTCCTTCCCCAAGTTGGGCCACATCTTTTTATCAATTTAATTTCTCTTGTTCAGGGAGAACCCAATAACATTATTTTCAAATACTAGTCAATTATCAGAGTCTATGTTTAAAATACCACTTATATTAGTCTTTGATCAGAGTCGATGGTGGGGTCTGTTTGAACACTCACCACATGAGGGATGGACAAGTGACATATCACCGTTTAAAATACCACTTATATTAGTCTTTGATCAGAGTCTATGCTTGGGTCTGTTTGAACACTCCCCACATGAGGGATGGACAAGGTGACATATCGCCGTCTAAAATACCACTTATATTAGTCTTTGATCAGAGTCTATGGTGGGGTCTGTTTGAACACTCACCACATGAGGGATGGACAAGGTGATGTTAGCAGTGAAGAATGGAACTTTTCTGCTACCAGTGCTCGAACCACCCACACTTTCATCAAAGTGCATCATACCGTGCCTTCTTCCTCTGTCATGTGAAAAGAAGAATCAAATGGACATGATGGACATAACAGAGTAATCATTATAATACTAAGATCATCAAACTACAAAAGCATCAAGCATAACATTTTCATCCCACAACATTCTATCAAATTGAAACAAGAATTTAAGGATATGAGGTGCCTATATTTGTATACAAACTTCACACAGAGAAGAAACGTCGTCTCATCACATCTAGTACCACATATGCCTATGACGTTTGAATACAAACTTCACACAGAGAAGAAACGTCGTCTTATCACATCTAGTACCACATATGCCTATGACATTTGTATACAATCTTCACACAGAGAAGAAATGTCGTCTTATCACATCTAGTACCACATATGCCTATGACATTTTTATACAATCTTCACACAGAGAAGAAACGTCGTCTCATAACATCGATTACTCCATATGCCTAGGACATTTGTATACAATTTCACACAGAGAAGAAACGTCGTCTCATCACATCTAGTACCACATAAACCTATTGACATTTGTATACAATCTTCACACAGAGAAGAAACGTCGTCTCATCACATCTAGTACCACATATGCCTATGACATTTTTATACAATCTTCACACAGAGAAGAAACTTCGTCTCATCACATCTAGTACCACATATGCCTATGACATTTTTATACAATCTTCACACAGAGAAGAAATGTCGTCTTATCACATTTAGAACAACATATGCCTATGACATTTGTATACAATCCTCACACAGAGAAGAAACGTCGTCCCATCACATCTAGTACCACATATGCCTATTGACATTTGTATACAATCTTCACACAGAAAAGAAACGTCGTCTCATCACATCTAGTACCACATAAACCTATTGACATTTGTATACAATCTTCACACAGAAAAGAAACGTCGTCTCATCACATCTAGTAATATATGCCTATGACATTTGTATACAATCTTCACACCGAGAAGAAACGTCGTCTCATCACATCTAGTACTACATATGCCTATGACATTTGTATACAATCTTCACACCGAGAAGAAACGTCGTCTCATCACATCTAGTAATATATGCCTATGACATTTGTATACAATCCTCACACAGAGAAGAAACGTCGTCTCATAACATCGATTACTCCATATGCCTAGGCCATTTGTATACAATTTCACACAGAGAAGAAACGTCGTCTTATCACATCTAGTACCACATATGCCTATTGACATTTGTATACAATCTTCACACAGAGAAGAAACGTTGTCTCATCACATCTAGTACCACATATACCTATTGACATTTGTATACAATCTTCACACAGAAAAGAAACGTCGTCTCATCACATCTAGTACCACATATGCCTATGACATTTGTATACAATCTTCACACAGAGAAGAAATGTCGTCTTATCACATTTAGAACAACATATGCCTATGACATTTGTATACAATCCTCACACAGAGAAGAAACGTCGTCTCATCACATCTAGTAATATATGCCTATGACATTTGTATACAATCCTCACACAGAGAAGAAACGTTGTCTCATCACATCTAGTACCACATTTGCCTATGACATTTGTATACAAAGTTTACCCAGACAAGAAACGTCGTCTCATCACATTTGTATACAAACTTTACCCAGAGAAGAAACGTCATCTCATCACATTTGAATACAAACTTTACCCAGAGAAGAAACGTCGTCTCATCACATCTAGTACCACATATACCTATTGACATTTGTATACAATCTTCACACCGAGAAGAAACGTCGTCTCATCACATTTGAATACAACTTTACCCAGAGAAGAAACGTCGTCTCATCACATCTAGTATGAAATATGCCTATGAAATTTATATACAAACTTTACCCAGAGAAGAAGCGTCGTCTCATCACATCTAGTGAGTGTCGCGAGGCTTTGAGCAGAGCCTCAACAAGTCTGTGGTTGAAGGAATCCTTTAACTCGTCGCATGCCTCACGAATGTTTTGCTCATCAGACATGTCACTGACATTGTCATCAACACTCTGAACATCAGAACCTTCATCGGTCCCAACAAAGATGGTCAGCACATCCACTGCAACACAAAGGCAAACTCACTGATAGATGATGATCCCTGCAAGTTTTTGAAGTCAATAACTTCCCTCACTTGCGTATTCAACAATACTGAGTCCGGAAATAACCTTCAAGCATAAAATTTTTGAGTGTGGTAGATTATAGCTCTGAGTGTGTTATATTATAGCTCTGAGTGTGTTATATAATAGCTCTTGAGTGTATTATATTATACATATGTAGCTCTGAGTGTGTTATATAATAGCTCTGAGTGTGTTATATTATAGCTCTGAGTGTGTTATATTATAGCTCTGAGTGTGTTATACAATAGCTCTGAGTGTGTTATATTATAGTTCTGAGTGTGTTATATTATAGCTCTGAGTGTGTTATATAATAGCTCTGAGTGTGTTATATAATAGCTCTTGAGTGTGGTATATTATAGCTCTAAGTGTGTTATATTATAGCTCTGAGTGTGTTATATTATAGCTCTGAATGTGTTATATTATAGCTCTGAGTGTGTTATATAATAGCTCTGAGTGTGTTATATAATAGCTCTTGAGTGGTAGATTATAGCTCTGAGTGGTAGATTATCGCTCTGAGTGGTAGATTATAGCTCTGAGTGTGGTAGATTATAGCTCTGAGTGGTAGATTATCGCTCTGAGAGTGGTAGATTATAGCTGCAGGATGGTATATTATAGCTGTAGGGTGGTATATTATAGCTCTAAGTGTGGTATATAATAGCTGAGTGGTAGATTATCGCTATGAGTGTGGTAGATTATAGCTGAAGGATGGTAGATTATAGCTGAGTGTGGTTTATTATAGCTCTGAGTGTCGTATACAAAAATAAATGTTTAAGGCCAAATAAAATTAATTACTTGGTTCTCAGGCCAATTTTTTTCAAAATAGATGCGGCAGGGCGGTATTTTTTCTCTCTCCATTTTACATGGCAAAAACAAGATGAGGGCGATTTTTTTTTTATTGTGTAGTTTGTAAAACGTTCATTGTGGACATTACCTTGCCTTTTTGTAGTTGTGTAGAGCCCCGTCATAGAGCAAGCCTCCGAAAATTCCCCCCCACGATATTCCAGACGAGAATCACGAACCCCACATTCCTTATTTGTACCGAAATGAGCGCCATTTGTACACAAGACTAATAAGTCATTATCATTTTAAAGCTTGTCTGTATCTCAATCCTTACCTTTATTCAAACGTTTTCGGGACTTGGGTGACTAACGAGTAAAAGAGATATGCGGAACAATTTTCCGGATTTTTGTAAAGATGGCGGCTGGCGCATTCACAATTATTTTTTCATTACTTTCACGATTTTTTTTGGCCTAATAGCTCAGAGTTTCGTTTATAATAGCTCTGAGTGTCGTATATTATAGCTCTGAGTTTTGTATATAATAGCTCTGAGTGTCGTAGATTATAGCTTTGAGTGGTGTTTTATAGCTGTTGTGAACTTTAGGGGTGTAATTTATCAATCTGATGTATATGTTATATGTTTATCAATATCATATTTTGATATATATTCATCATAAAATGTTTATCAATATCATATTTTGATATATATTCATCATAAAATGTTTATCAATATCATATTTTGTATGAAAAAAAATGAAAATAAAAAGAAATCCTTTTATTCCTTCTGTTACCAGTTCAGGTAAACTTACTTATAAGATGTCTACAGGGCCTGCATCATTACTTTAATGTAATGGCCAATTAAAAATATAAACTGAAAAGCTAATACATTTATACCAGCCAAGCAAGAAGAGCTACAGGCCAAGATTATCATTCTAGATCTTTTCACATTTTCAACATGTGACCCATTATGACCCTGTTCCAAAGACCCCTGATGGGGTCAGCTCACTCTCGAGTACAGATTCTAGTCCACATTATCTTAGGATAATTTCATCAAATGTTGTTCTAAATCCATTAGTAACTTTCAGGGATGTCATTTGAAGATTTAGCACAAAGTGACCACTTAGTTTAAACTGCAGAGGATAATTGACCTGACCGTTTCAATTCTTTTTAAAGGAAAACAGAATGTTCAAACATTAGACCAATACACTTTAATATATTGTTAATTTGTTTCTCAGGCACAATTTTTCAAATCAGATTAGGGCAGGAGGCCTTTCTATCTCCTTTTCCACTGTCCAAAAATTGTAATGAAAGAAAGACTTATTATTTTCATTTTTTCTCCTTAAGTCATTTGTGATATATTCTGTTGACAAAACTCCAATATACAATTGTTGGGTATAAGATCACTAAGATAAAACTACTATTTATAGTAAATATTAATTCAAATTGAATGTGCACAGGCCTGAGAAGCAAGAAATTAAATGTATTTAGCCTTATCAAACTCACTGCCAGCCTCTACACTTGGCTCCCCTTCTACGATGCTCTGTCCCAACTGGGCTCTGTGTAAGAAGATCCGTATCAACTCAGCCACTGCATCCTCAATTACGTGACTAATCTTGTTGATTTGCTGTCCCATGTCTTTACAATACCCCTGTACACACAAAAACAAACTTCTTTTCACTTTTCTCATCCAACTGTCAGTGTTTGTGCTCACATAGCTTTGCAAAAGTCCTGTATAAACCAAAAATCAGTCAAAGTTTATCACAAGTTTTTGATATTTCTAAAACATTTGCCAAATAATTTCTCAAACTCTAATTTCTAAAGTATCCTCCATGCACCAAACTTGTATTCCATGATATGGTGTTTTTACAACAGTCATTCAACAGAGTAATACTTGTACGACTATCACATGTGTAAGCCGTACAGATAATTGTGATTGATCAAACCTCCATCTTTTTGAGGAATTGGCTGACGGTCCAGGGAGAACGCTCAGGGAGGTCACACAGCAAGGTCTCGCTGATCTCGTGAAGCATGCTGTCAATCCTCGTCTCTTTGATGTCATTCACCTTCAAGAGATATGCATGTGTGGCAGGTTTTAATCGTATATAGGATTAAGGTCGCCTTAGAGCTTCGAGCTAGAGGGAATTTCCCTTTAGTTCAGTAGTAGAGCGTCCGACTAGGAACGTGGTGATCGTGGGTTCGATCCCCGGTGGAAGCACAATATTCTCTTTCCTGTTACACATGCTATACAGAACTTCTCCAACAAATCAAATGGGAGAGGCTATGATAAGGAAGCACTATATGTAATTGATTTATAGGACATGCGGGATCTAAAATACTTCACATTTGTATAGTTGACCACTTGGGCATGTTACAATATTTGCGACTGAATACACATTGCAAAATTAATGCTACAATTTTACTGTTGTTTTATTCAATTTCCATTCATAATAAACAAACTGAGAAATCTTACCTTCCAACAATTCAATTTTGTTAGAAATCTGAAAATACCTTTAAATCATTTAATCATTTAATCATCCATACATCAATTTTCAGGTTTTCATTCCTTGATAATTTCTTCAAAACTTAACCATTCCTATTAGATTTTGTAGAGAAATGTTAAAATCTCACCTGTTTGACAACTATTCCCAGGTCATTGAGAGCATTAGACACAATATCAAAGTAGATTGGGAGACTGAGAGACGTCCAGGTGTGGTTCACCAACCCTGGTCGCATCGCCACATCCACCTGTTCATCAAGTTATAATTATCATCATAATTCTTCTACGTTGCGGCCCTGTATTCTTCTAGATCTATATTTAAGGTAGTTATGATGTACAAAATGCTTATAATCTGCTATAAGTTTTGGAAAATTGTAATACATACAGGGCTAGAAATTTACTTTGAATACCATTAGCCAGTTGGGGTAGTAGTTTCCAATCTTAACCAGTTCTTGTGCAAATTTTACTAACCAAATATCATTAAACAATATATTAAAGCAATATCAAATTTTGACTACTCAACTGTGCTAGCGGTTTTTAAAACCACTCGTCCAGCTTGAAATTTCACTCGTCTTATACAATTGTCTAGCCCTGACATATGGTCTTACCAAACATTACGATAAGAAAATAATAATATATTTTTATTTTTTATTTTATCAAATGTTTACTCTCATGAAAAAAGGAAAATCAGGAGACTGGTATGCAACTCACTTCATCCAGGTACAACCTACCTTTTTCAATGAAGGTCTCAGGAGAGTCACAAATATGGGTGGAATATCTGCTCTCAAGTTGTTGTTTTCATCAAGAAGCATCTACAAACACCAAGAAGAGAATATAAATTCTAGGATAAAGGCTAATAAACCATTTCCACCGACCACAAAAAGACATATTACTACAAAAACCTCTGCAAATGGTTGCAGAAGACTTACTTCGTTTTATTCTAAGCATGTCTGAGAAATCAGATTAGATTTATTATGGAATCAAAGATTAGAATTAAGAATGGAATCAATCACCCAATATTACCTGGAGTCTGTTGTTGTGAGCTGTGAGGGTGTCCTTTGAGTGGACCAATATTATGGCTGCCTTGGGGATCTCCAGATCCAGCTTCATCATGTACTCAGCCTCCTTTATCACCTCAAATATGTAGGGGTCAAAGTTGACTAGCAGCAATCCTTGCTTTAAGGGATGTCGCACTAGCACTGGAGCTTGTAGGACTACAAAATTATGATTTATTATATCAGGAATAGAAACTAATAATTGCTATCGAATTTCAATATCCCACTATAGCTACCTATGACTATTATGTGAAAATTTCCATTACAAAATATATAATATTGTAAATATAGATACTCTCTTACCATCAAGCATCAATGTATTTTAGAAGAACCTTGCTTTAACTCATTCACCCCTGAAGACACATTTGAACTCTTCCATTTCAAAGGTTGGAAGAGTTCATTATGGAATTTCAGGGGTGAATGAGTTAATCTAATATATAAATCTGCTGGATGACTACATTCTCAATTCTTCAATTCTGAATAGCCTATCGGCATAAAAATTAAAAACTTTTACTGGACAATCCTCTTCGTAATAAACACTTTTCAGTGGAAATCCCATTTATTGTAAACTGGCACACGCTATCATTTGTAAAATTTTCACTCAATAATCCCTTTCAGTGATTTTTTTTTCCTGGCTGGTTTTACAGCCAAGTAAGTACAGGCTGCTTACCCTAGCCAAAAGTGCTTTATTTTCCAACAAGAGGCCCATAGGTAATTTTACTTGCTCTTTTACCGTTTCAAAGAATGAAAGTACATATAACCATACATGTTTTTTTTACTGTGAACTTGCTTTTACAAAATTATGTTGAGCATGACCCACCCCAACTAAAGTTATGATTCCCACCAAGTTCATCAAAATCTCACTGATGGTTCTTTTCTGAGAAGAAATCAAAAATGTGATTGCTTATGCATGACACACGATTACGGGCAATAGGTCACCTGAGTGAATGTTAAAAGTATAAAAGAAGCTGTTTCTTTAGCCATAAATACTAACATTTCGTAGCAACACCCACAGACTTTTTCCAGGCCTCGTGATATAGCATCTCGTACTCTAGAAGTACTCGCATCATCCGGTTGTAGTTACGAATAATTCGTTTGGCATCGTCTGACTTCAAACAACTTGCCCGCTTCTGTCAAGGAAATGAAACTTGTGATGGCACATGGCTCAATGACTATACTATTAAATCCACATAAACAGCCAATGAACATCCTCAATTTTATCACATGATGTACTGATCAACCTGTGGAGGGAGTGTCTACTGTCTACTTCTTAAGTTACAACTTATTCTCATTTCTTTCTCAACTACATATACTGGAAGAGGGTGACAACACAATCAGCAAAGTACTTGAGAAACATTTTTCAAAGATCGTGATCATGATTTTAATATTTGAATAATAGTTGAATTTAAGGTTCAAAAGTATCCACAGACCATGACAGTTTTTTAACTTCCTTTACAAAAATCCATTTACTTTTTGACATATCAAGCAATACACAATGATTTTAAAAGAATAATCATGTTGAAAGTAGCGTTACTCATGCTACTAAATATGAAGCAAACCTTTTGCATTTAAAAGTTCAGATTTGATTGACTGACAGTACTTACTGCAAAGATATTCATGGGAACCTCTATCCTCTGTGATAGCTGTCTGGCCCAAGTGATCTTGCCCGACACTGGAGGCATGTTCCTTGGGATGGGCGGGTCCTCCTTGCACTTCATGTACAGCTATGTAACACAGAATTATGTCAATTCTAACTCAAACCTTCTATAATCACCAAATAAAGACATTGAAATCGGAGGTAAATATACGCAATCATTAAATATCAACAACAAAAAAGGATCACAGATAGCCAGGACAAAAACATTATATAAGGAAGTGTGTCACAACCTTTCAATACTATAACATAATAGGACAATTGATAATTCATCCAAAATTGCAATTATTGTGATATTTCAGGTCAAAAGGATCCCCTGATTTTGCAAATATTAGAAAATGTCTATAAAACACAAACGCCTCTTGCCCCTGTAGTTCACCTATCAACAGCAACATTGACCTTGGCATTGACCTTGGGACCCTGAAATACGAACTCATCTGTGGGACTGTCAAACATGACCTTAGCGTTACTTTAGGAACAACTATACAGCCATATACACCCTAAATGAAAAACAGACCCATGCATTATTAATTGTTAAAGGAACTATGAATTATGTAAACACATACAATGCACTTGGGTGGGGCATATGCCTTAATCTCAGTTTTATATCAAATATGAAAACAGTGTATTTATGAAATTTTGAATCAATTTGAGTAACATGTAATTGAAAACAAGGCCAAGTACCTTTCTGATTTCCTCTATCTCTCCTCCATACTGCACCATTATAGTCGTATATTTCTCTTCTATCTTCAGTCGTGGCAACTCGAGACTCTCAAATCTACAAAAATAATTTTAAAATACTTTTTTTATGGGTGTTTATATTGTAATGGAGGTGCCAAAAACTCTTAATATTCTATGCGACATCAAACACAAGATTGTCTGATCAACTATAATCTCAACTCCTTGAGACAAAACGTTCTCGACTGGCGACCGAGGCGTACAGAATGAGGCAGGAGAAGAAAGAGATCTGGACGAGGATTCGGGAAAACATCCAACTGCCGGACGTTTGGCTGGAAATCAAAAAATCAAAAAATGGGCGATGGGAGCGAGCGGAATTTCTGTAAAATGTGTTAATTTTCATTACAACAAAGACGGTAAAACCAAGCGGTAAAATTGAAGCTGACCTGGACGTTTCACATATGTTCACACGTGTGTTGGTGGTTTCCACTCGATGTCAGAGTCGAGGAACAGTCTAATCGGAAACTAACTGACTAGCACTGAAAAACTAACAGTGAATATGCCCAGTGAAAAAGGTACTGTAAATATGTTGGAACATTGCTTTACAAATAGAAAGCTTGATCTGTTCATCTTGTTGACTTTGGAATTCAAATGTTTTTGTTACGGTAGTGGGCGAACGATAATTGACCTGTGTATGTTAAATATCATTATTTTTTCTCTCAATATTCCTGCATTAATGGAGCATTTCCAATAATCGTTTATAGTTATGACAAGGTCATGATGTTCAATGTTTAAAATATATATCTTAATTGATTTTTGTTAATGAAGGTGCTGTATATTCGGGGTTTTTTTCGGACCATTAGTGAAACTATAAATGGAACGTGGGGTACTTTTGCAACATTATAGTCATCATGAATTAATACTAGATACTTTTAGAATTTGAAATTGTATGTGTAAGGAATGTCACAAGTCATCAAGTAGGACAGTGAGGACTTCCTACAACATGAAGCTACTATCTCAAAAAGTATGTAAATGTATGTGTGCACGTGGTGGGTGCAAGTAAAAAGATAATGTTAACGGTATGTTTAATTTAATCCGAGAATTCAAGGTGGAGGTGACATAGAGGATATTTTTGGTGAAGTCTTGATTTTCGACTAAGTGTATAAATAATCACCTGTACAGTGTAGTTTTTACTTAGAAATTGTAGCGTACCCATCATGCATGTTCTTATTCATAAAATGGCATACATATAGTACATTTCAAATTTATGTAGTAACAGAAAAATGTCGATTTCTGAAGCTGAATAAGACGATGGCAATTTTGTCAAACAATCATCTGAATGCCAAAAGCTATGTTTTAAAAATCCATAATAAGTTTGTTATCATAAGCCCCGAAAGGCCAGCTATCCCAACCATGTTTTCTGGAAGGATTACCATTTTTATGTTATATGTCTACTTACAGATTGTAGTATATATGTCTATTTTTTGTGTTTTGCGGTGTTATCTGTGTCTGCAGACCATTCCATTTTGTAACATGTTATTGAAGACAAACGTAATGAAGTTGAATTTAGAGACAGGGAGCCACAGAAAAAGAAATGAGAATGTAATTTACTATGACAGTTAACATACTTTCAATGAACTGTCGGGGCCTAGCTGATGTTAACACAAGAAGGGATGTTTTTAATTACCTAAAGAAAAAAAATTGTTCTATATATTGTTTACAAGATACTCACTTCAAAGATTGTGACAGTCAGTTTATTAGACAACAGTGGGGGTATGACATTGTATTCAGTAATTTCAAGGGTAATGCTAGAGGAGTTGCTATACTTTTTAATACAAATTTTGATTACAAGGTTATCGATATCAAGAGAGATGATCATGGTAGCATGATTGCATTAAGTGTCCAGTCAGCTGGATATTCATTTACTCTAATTAACATCTATGGTCCAAACAAGGACTCACCATCGTTCTTTAAAAATATCAGAGAGGTTATCCAAACCTTTGATAATGAATTTTTGATAGTTTGTGGTGACTGGAACTTAATCCTCGACCCAGATATAGATGTTTATAACTACAATAATTTAAATCATCCAAATTCTCGAAAAGAAGTATTCAAGCTTATGGAGGAATTTGATTTGTGTGATCCTTGGCGTGTAAATCACCCGAATTTAAGGAGATACACTTGGTTCAAGAAAGCTCCTGTTAAGAAGGGAAGACTGGATTTTTTTCTGATATCACAGATGTTATTATCAGTTTATGAAAACTCTGATATTATTCCAGGGTACAGAACTGATCATTCAATGATAGAATTAAAACTAAAATTTTCAAAATTTGAGAGAGGTAGAGGTTTCTGGAAATTTAATACAACCCTTCTTAGAGATTGGAAATATATAGAAAAAGTTACCGAAATAATTAAAGTCATTATATGCAGATATGCTGCTTTTCCCTATGATAGAGGCAAGCTTGCTGAAATCGACTTTCTCGATATTCACTTTACAATTGACTATCATCTATTATTAGAGACACTCTTACTAGAAATCAGAGGAATGTCTATAAGCTATAGTGCGGAAGTTAAACGCAATAAAATTAAAAAACAAACCTATCTGGAAGAGCATATAAATACTCTCCAGATATTAACTGAAGCATCCCCGGAATCGGAGATCTTTTCAGAAATGCTAAATGAAAAAAAAATTGAGCAGGAAATTTATAGAAAAGAATATATGAAAGGATTGATGATACGAGCAAAAGCAAAATGGATAGAGGATGGGGAAAAGCCAAGTAAATACTTTACCAACCTGGAAAAGAGACATCATGTCAATAAAACGATAACAAAACTAAAAGATAGTTCCGATGTAGAAATAACGGATCAGAAAGATCTGCTTCAGGAAATCAAGAACTTTTATTTAGGTCTCTATACGGATAGAGACGATAGCCTAGAGGATGTAGATTTGAATGTATTATTGAAAGATGCTGAGGCACCTAAACTAAATGAAGAAATGAGAGAGGAATTGGAACAAAACATTACAATAGACGAGGTACTACAATCCCTTAAAAAAATGAACAATGACAAAAGTCCCGGCCCTGATGGTTTCCCTGCTGAATTTTTCAAGTTTTTTTGGAAGGATCTAGGAAAACTTATTTTTTGCTCTATAACATATGCCTTTCAATGTCAATCAATGTCCTGGACTCAGAGGCAAGGTGTTGTGACTCTTCTCCCTAAGGGTAATAAGCCAAGGGAATTTTTACGAAACTGGAGACCCATATCTCTGCTTAATACTTCTTATAAAATACTCTCTGGATGTATTGCTAACAGAATCAAACAAACGCTTGATCATCTCATTCACGAAAACCAAACCGGTTTTATGAAAAATAGATTCATTGGGGAAAACACCAGAATGCTTTATGATATTATGAGTTATACTGAAAAAAACAATATTCCAGGGATGGCTTTATTTATAGATTTTGAGAAGGCCTTTGATTCTGTATCGTGGAGATTTATTCACAAAACCTTAAACTTTTTTAACTTTGGACCGGTTATGCTTCAATGGATGAAAATATTGAATCATGATTTTAAGCTTTGTGTTATTCAGAATGGGTTCTTTTCAGAGTTCTTTAAAATTGGTAGAGGTTGCAGACAAGGCGACCCTGTCTCTCCCTACATCTTTCTGCTCTGCGCAGAAGTGTTAGCCATTATGATAAGAAACAACCCTGAAGTTGTAGGTATTAAGATAAATGGAAAGGAATTTAAACTAAGTCAATTTGCAGATGATACAACATTGTTGTTAAATGGTGATGACAGCTCCCTTAGAGCTGCTCTATCATTATTAGACCAATATGCCAAATTTTCTGGCCTGAAGCCAAATATCGAGAAGACAAGTGCAATGTGGATTGGGAATAAGATAGGATCAGACGATAACATTTGTAGTGATATCGAGATAAACTGGACAAAGGGTCCGGTAAAGGTTCTTGGAATTGTTTTTAGTCCAAAACTTGAGGACATGATGGAACTTAATTATCTCCAAAAAATTGATGAAGTGGAAGCTTTCCTCAATAATTGGTCCAAAAGATATTTAACTGTCCTTGGTAGAATAACTGTAATTAAATCTCTGGCTATTTCCAAGCTGGTACATGTATTCATGAGCTTACCTTCTCCAAGTAGACAATATTTGACCAGACTTAACAAAATCATTTTCTCATATCTATGGGGTAATTCAACGGATAGAATTGCTAGAAAACAAATAATTCAAAGTAAGGAGGAGGGTGGTTTGGACATGCTTCATTTAGAATCGTTTTTAAAATCCTTAAAACTTGGGTGGATAAGAAGATTTATGAAAAGTCAAGCATATACATGGGCATATGTCCTGTTAGAGGATCATAATCATGAAGTAGAACTCCATTTGTCCAATGCGGGTGACCAATTCTTTAAAATGATGTCAAAAAGAACAAGTAATTTATTTTGGAAGGAAATTTTCCATATGTTAGCGGAAATAAAAAAAATCTTTCATCCTCAGGATAAGTATATATTGACAGAGCCATTGTGGTTCAACTCTCTCTTTACCATTGACAAAAAAACAGTTTATTGGAGGGATTGGTATGAGAGAGCCATAATAACCGTCCAAGATATGATGGACAAAAATGGAGACATTTTCTCTTATCATGACTTTTGCCAGTTTTATCAGTTTCAACCCCCATTCACTTCATTTGAAGGATTAAAGAAGGCTTTAGTCAAATCTTTCCCTAGTTTGAAAGAGAAGACCAATGTGACTGATACCCCCACTTTTCCATATTTCCTGGAAAGCATAGTCTCCGACAGGCCTGGAAAAAGAGTAATATATAAAACTTTAATTCAAGCATATGGGTCAACAATTAACTATTCATACAAGTTAAAATGGGCATGTGATCTGGGACTAGAAGATGATGAGTATTGGTGGAAGAAAACTCACAAAGAGATTTTTAAACAAACAAATGATACAAAACTACGATGGCTGCAATATCGTCTGGTCCATCGAATTTTACCAACCAATATTTTTCTATTCAGAATTAAGGCGGTGGATTCTCCGCTATGTACATTCTGTAGGGAAGAAAAAGAAACCTATATACATTTATTTTATGAATGTTCAAGGATAATCAAGCTTCGAAAGGAGTTAGAGAAGTGGTTTCTCGATAAAACCATGTTCAACTTTAGTATATCGCCAATATCGATACTGCTAGGGCTTCATGGTCGCCATAATGGTATGATTAATATGATGTCGCTGCTGTTTAAGCAATATGTCTATCACTGTAGAATTAAGAAAATTTATGTGTGTTTTGAAGTCTTAAAATCACACATATGTCAATACTATGAGGTAGAAAAGATTGTGTATAAATCAAGAAATGAATACACAAAATTCCTTACAAGGTGGGGAGGATGGCATGCTTTATCCGAAAGGGAGGAACAAAGTAAAATATAAACAAAGTCTTTGTCGGTATGGTAATGAATATTGCACTGATGATGGAAATTGGTCTTGCTGTATGTCTATTCGTCTAAGTGTACTTATCTATAGCAAAAGCTAAGCTAAAAATTAAATTTAATATGGGCGCTGCTAAAAAAACTTGGAAGAAACTAGGTGAACAAATTGCTTCAAAATGAACTTGCATATTTTATTCTGAAACTATTGTGTTTAGATCCAACTAAATCACCGATGAAGGTGGAGGTATGTGAGGGCATGTTAATAAATATGTATATTTAAGAGAGAAAAAATCGGTGCAGAGTGTAATTTCTGATGTTCCCAAATTTAGCGGTGCTCATGTTGAACTCAAGCATGTATATAATCCTATGGGTATTGTAATGTAATGAATTGTTATGTAATGTAATGTTTTGTCTCTGGTCTTAATGTAATTGTTCACATGAAAATCAATAAAAAAAAATGAAATGTAAAAAAAAAAAAAAAAATCCTTGAGACATATCTCTCCTTGTTAAGTTTTTCTAACCTTTTGTATTCAGAATTGTAAGTAAAACAATTAAGAACGGTAAAATGTGTGAAAATGTTAAACAAATAGAATTCCTAACAAACAGAATTTGTTCCTTGACACAGCAGAATCCTTGAGAAGATGCATGTATTTGTATACGCTTTTGTTATTTGCCAGGACATACAGTGTATATTTCAGTCCTACTAGCATATTTATGGAGTTTGTTTTGAAGATTACCTTGTTAGGAGAGTTAGAGCTTGGGAAGCAGAAGTTATCTTAGAGAAAGATCCTTCCATGAACTTCTGAATTCCAGACTGAAAACAGAATTATACATTTGTACATTAGCATCAAGTGTAAAACAGAATTATACATTTGTACATCAGCCTCAAGTGTAAAACAGAATTATACATTTGTACATCAGCATCAAGTGTAAAAGAGAATTATACATTTGTACACCAGCATCAAGTGTAAAACAGAATTATACATTTGTACATCAGCATCAAGTGTAAAACAGAATTATACATTTGCACATCAGCCTCAAGTGTAAAACAGAATTACTACATTTGTACATCAGCATCAAGTGTAAAACAGTATTATACATTTGTACATCAGCATCAAGTGTAAAACAGAATTATTCATTTGTACATCAGCATCAAGTGTAAAAGAGAATTAAACATTTGTACATCAGCCTCAAGTGTAAAACAGAATTATACATTTGTACATCAGCCTCAAGTGTAAAACAGAATTATTCATTTGTACATCAGCATCAAGTGTAAAAGAGAATTAAACATTTGTACATCAGCCTCAAGTGTAAAACAGAATTATACATTTGTACATCAGCCTCAAGTGTAAAACAGAATTATT